GGCGTAAATGGATGGACCGGGATGGCTCCGAGCGTAAATCAATGACTCCGGCTCCAACATATAAATGAATTCGGCCCCCGCTCTCGTCGGTTTGAATAAATAATCCCGACCCCCATGATTGTCGGTTTGAATAAATAGAGACCATTTGAATAATAACTTCGGCCCCATTCCTGGTGGTTACATAACTTCGGCTCGTCTTAACCTATTTGCTGGCCCAGCTTTGAATTTTGTCAACAGTCCATCCTCTTTCGGCCCAACTTTGAATTTTGTCAACAGTCCATCCTCTTTCGGCCTAAATGATTTTATTAGCAGGTATATAATTCCCATTGACCTTTATCTTCTCATTGGTACAATCCGACGAAAGAAAAAAAAACTCCTTCAGATCTGTTCGCGTGGGCAACGATGTGAATTTGTTAAAGTAGTGAAATCGAGCATTGATTTTGAGGTCGGGCTTCGCTTGAAGTCGGAGTTCGACTGCGATTCTGTGAAGTCCGAAGTGCCGAGGTTGGATGTTGACGCGGAGATCGACTGCAATTGGGTCGGGTACCGGCAGTGACGTTATTTACCGGGATGTCGGTTTGAAGAGGATGAACTCAATTTTGGTGTGTAGAACAGGAAAGACGAAATCGGCCTTTGATTTTTTCACCACGGTTTGAAAATTGAATTCGGCCCGACTGTAATTTCAAAGATCTGATGATGGGTTGTTCGATCAGGAACCCGAGTTCGGCTAGCGATCCAAATTCGGTCGTGGCAAGGTCGACCGGTTATGGTGATGTTGGGCCCGGCGGGATTGTGTCGACAAATCGAACCTCGGTGGTTGATGAGGTCGGGGATGTTGAGCGAAAAGTCGGCCCAGCCTGTAGAAGTCGGCAAAATGAGGTCGGACCCCTATAATGGCGAGGTCGGAGAAACTCGGCCCCGACTTGGCCCCAACTTTGAAGTCGGCGGCGTGATGTAGTCGAGTCTCGGTTGAAGTGGAAGCTCGGCAATGATAAAGTCATATATGCCGAGGTCGGTGATGATAGTGTAGCCGAAGTCGGTAGTGGTGAGCTCGGTCCCGATATGCGGATCGGGAGAAATGAAATTGTCCTCCTGTTTGCCGTCGAGGCTTGAAAATGGAAGTCGGTTCGACTGCAGTTTCAAAACTCCGACAACAGTATCGTTCGATATGAAATTCGATTTTGTCTAGCGATCCGAACTCGGCCGTGTTAAAGTCG